TGTTCCATTGCCATATTTTGAAAAAAATTCCAAGTGTTTGAAATGAATGTAGTTAACAGATCATTAGGTCAGGTTTTCAAGTAATTTTTCAAGTAATTCACGTATTTTAGTGTGTGACTCATCAATAACAGACTTGCCGTTAAACCTTCCAGAATGAGGGTACATTAGTTTCTCCTTACACTCTATGACTTTTCACTTTGCCTTTTTTGAAACTATTAGGTATATAAAAGGAAAAAATCATGACTTAACCAGCAAATATAAAAAAGTCTGGTTTTTGTCCTAAATCCCCCTTTGACATTAATATGACAGATTGTGGGGGATTATTTCTCTAACACATATGTATTTTTTTATCCTTTCATTTTTCATCTTTCCATGTCAATTTGCCTCCAGTGAATAGCATATACCTGGGCTTTTACAAAAATCCAGTCTAGCAAACTTGTGACTGATGTTTAGTCTACATACATTTACTGTAATTACTGACATTTTGCACTCGATTCTGCCATTGTATTTTCTGTTTGTCCCGTCCCCTGGCTCCGTGCTTTTTCTTTTTTTCTCTCTCCCCTAGACCGCAGGGATGAGTGCATTTTTTTGCTATGGATTTATTCTATTTTCCCTTTATACATGTGGAAACAATTCATTCTGTTTCTATTCTTTTGATGGTTACCCTGGAAAATTTGCCATACCTTTTGAATAAGATCTATTGATAAATAGCATAATAATAAAAACCTTTTAATGAACAATTTTAGGAACTTAGGACACTGTAACTTCAACAAACTCTGTGTCTTACATGCTATTATATACAGTATTTTAGTCCTGTCCTTTTATAACTGCCCCAAATTAAATATGTTATTATAGTTTTTATGGGAATATTTTATGGGAATAAGTCTAGACTTACCTGCCTTCTTGTTATTTTATATCCTTGCTGTTCCTTCTCACACCTCAGACTGTCCTGAGGCCGGCCCGGCATCGTTTTCCTTCAGAAATCCTTTATTGCAGTTCTCATTTTATCTATAAACACCTTTATTTTATCCTCTTCTGCAGAGAGTGTTTTTACTGTGTAAACAATTCTAGATTATTTTCTCTCGGCATTCTGAGTACCCCTCCTCTTCTGACTGTGCTGCCACTGCCCCTTGGCAGTGACATCTTACCCTGGCTGCTTTCCAGGGCCACTTCAGGGTTCAGGGGTTTCCCTTCACTCTCTCTAGGGCAGGGAGTTTTTCAACTTACCATGGAGATTCGTATTTTTCATCATTTCTGAAATATTCCAGCCATTATCTATTTAAAATACTGCTTCTCCTCCATTCTCTTCCTTCCAGGGAGATCACAACTGCACACGTTAGGCCATCTTTTTTTCCTCCATTTCCCCCATCTTTTTTAATTCCATTTTCTCTTTTTGCTGCATTCTAGGTAATTTCTTCAGAACTACCTTCCAGTTTCCTGATTTTCTTTTCAGTTGTCCTCCAGAGTTTTTTCCACTTCAACAATTGTGACTTTTTCATTTCTACAAGTTCCCTTTGTGTTCTTCATTAAAATAATCACTGCTGCTATTGTTTGTGATGAGCCTTTTATCTAAGCGGCTCACGCCTAGCTGCTCCACGCTCCCCATCTGACGGTTCCAGTACCCGCGGGCCCTCGCAGGCAGTGCTGTTACTTGCAGATTCTGTTCTCCATCACAAGCCTCTCAAAACCTTTTCCTAGACTCTATATGCTTACCTAGCTTACTGCTTGATCTTGATCAGTAGGAATCCTGGGGGAATAAACGGGCAAACAAGCCTTAGGAAAGGACTGCATTTGTCACTGACAGTATCCGGGGGGTGGCAGCAACCGAGTACCATTTCAGACCCTGAGGGGTTTTAGGGAAGAGGCTCAGCCCCTCCACCCTGCGGTTCTAGGCTCCGACAGGTGACAGCAGTCCTCTATTTGCACTAAGCCTGGGCCCCGCAGGCCTTCCACACCCGACTTCCCAACTCCCTCAGAATCCCTGTCCATCAGCAAGGCACCAGGACGAGGCAGACAGGTGCAGAGGGGTCACCGTCTCCGCAGAGGCCTAGCATGAACCAGTGCAGTGGATCTTGGAGCCGACCTGCCACGGTCCTTACCCCCTCCATTATGAAGGAAGAGTCACAGAAACTCACTCATCCCTATCTGCTAGCAACCACAGGCTTAGTTTAGCATCACTTTCGAAGCCACCAGGACCACATTTCTCATGTCCTTTATCCCTGTTTATGTCAGTCATTTCAAGAACCGCCAGATTCCTAGGTCAGCTCCCAGGCTCAGATCCTCCTAAGCTTCGGAACACCCCTTGTTCTGCCCCTTCCACCACGCTCTCTTCCGACTCCTGACCCCTTCCACCATGTGCCCTAAATTCATGGTTCAGGAAATCTAATTTCAGTCTTTTTTCTGAATGCTCCTTCAGCTTCTTGCTGTAACTGAAAAAGGGATCTCCCTGAGAGCGCTGTTGCCCCTGCAGCCTCTCAAATGCTGGCTGTCTCTCCCTCACACCCGATACTAAAAGTTAAACTGTTTTTATTCACAGATGACATGATTATCTACGTAGAAAATCCAGACGAATTGACAAAAAAATCTCCTGGAACTAATAAGTGATTATAACAAGGTTGCAGGATACAATACACAAAATTCAATCATTTTCCAACATGCCAGCAGTGAACAAGTAGAATTTGAAATTAAAAATACATTAGCAGAAACAGAATTTTTAGTGTAGTGAAAATACCATTATCCATACTATAATGATGGATATATGTCATTGTATATACATGTTGTCATTTGTCCAAACCCATTGAACAAACAACACTAAGAGTGAACTCTCAGGTAAACTATTATAATGTGTCAGTGTATGTCCATTAATTGTAGGAAGTGTACCTCTGGTGGGGGATGTTGATAATGGGGGAGGCCAAGCATGTGGGGAAATGGGGATATGGGGTATCTGTAGCTTACTCTACATTTCGCTGTGAATCTAAAACTCCTCCAAAAAGTCTAAAAATATCTAGAAAAAAATTAGTTCCATTAGCAACCCCTAAAAATGATTCACTTAGATGTAAGCCCAAAAAGATATGTATAAGCTCTATATGAAGAAAACTATAAAACTCTAATGAAAGATGTCAAAGAACTAAATTAATGCAGAGCTATTCCACATTCTTAGATAGGAAGACTCAATATTGTCAATATGTCAGTTCTTCCCAACTTGGTCTACAGATTCAATGCAACTGCAATCAAAATTCCAGCAAATTACTTTATGGATATCCACAAGCCGATGTTAAAGTGCGTATGGAGAGGCAAGAGACCCAAAACAGCCAACTTCATACTGAAGAACAAAGTCAGAGGACTGACACTACCCAACTTCAAGACTTACTATAAAGCTACAGTGATCAGAACAGTGTATTGAAAGAATAGGCAAATAGAGCCACATAAACAGACCCACATAAATATAATCAACTAACTGATCTTCAAAAAGGATCAAAAGCAACACAATGGAGAAAAGATGACCTATTCAACAAATGGTGCTGGAACAACTGGACACCCACAAAGAAAAAAAATTAATCAAGTCACAGACCTTATATCCTTCACAAAAATCACCTCGACATGGATGACAGACCTAAATGTAAAACACAAAAGTGTAAAATTCTAGAAGATAACAAAGGAAAAAACTTAGATGTCCCTGGGAATGGCAGTAACTTTTCAGATACAACCCTACAGGCACTGCCCATAAAAGTATTGACAAGCTGGACTTCATTGGAACGAAAGATTCTGCTCTGTGAGACAATACGAAGGCAACGACAAGCCACAGACTGAGGAAATACCTGCAAGAGCCAGGCCTGATAAACGACTGTTATCCAAATTATACAAAGAACTCTGACTCAACGGTAAGAAAATTAACAAGCCAATTAAAAAATGGGCCAAAGACCTTAACAGACACCTCGCCCATTTGTAAATTAGGTCGTCTAATTTTACTGTTGAGCACTAAGAGTTCTTTGTATATTCTGGATACTAGAGCCTTATCAGATTTGCAAGTATTTTCTCCCATTCTGTGGGCTTTCCTAATGTCTTTTAATGCACAAAGGATACCTTTTCTAGAGGTAATTTTGATGAAGTCAATCTATTTTTTTTCTTCTCGTTTGTGCTTTTGGTGTGCTATTAACAACCCACAACCTTACCAAGGTCATGAAGATTTACCCTATTTTATTCTAACAGTTGTATAGTTTTAAGCTTCTTACATTTAGGTCTTTCCTCCATTTTGAGTGAATTTTTGTGAATGGCAGGGTCCTATTCATTTTTCTGAGTGTGGATATCTACAGTTGTCTGAGCACTATTTGTTGAAAAGACTATTCCTTCCCTCTTGAATGGTCTTGGTACCACTGTCAAAAATCAGTTGATATGAGTTTATCTCTGGGTTCTCAATTCTATTCCATTGATCTATGTGTCTTAGTGCTTTTAATAATGCATTGTTTATTATTACCTCACTGAAACTGGATTTCTTGAGGGCAGGGGCAACATCTTTATTCATCTTAGTGTTTTTAACCCAGCACTTAGCAGACCCATGAAACATTGTTCACTGAAGAAATGAAATTAATCATTTAGTTTTGAGGGAAAGAATGGTAAAATGATAAAATACTTTACCATTTGATATGAATTTGAAATTTGGGATCCCTTCTCTATTACTTGCAATGGCAATTATTCACTTTAGCATTTACTGAAAATCTTCTCAGACAGAAATACAGCCACCTCAAAGTCTGCAACTGAGGAAAGAAGGTACATCATGAACTCAAATACCAGCAATTAAAAGCTGTAAGTGTTGTCAGGTAACACAAAGAAAATGCTACTGGAGTTGGAGCAGAAATCACCTTCAGCTAGGATATCTGTTAAGTACCCCAATCATTTATCAAGTCTTCTTGAAGGGCTGCTAATACTTCAAATTCACTGCCAAAATAATTTTGAAAAAATGAGACAGGAATTTGAATTTTACTAATAATATGTGGCTTGGGGATTTTGATTATCTCTGAAGAGAAAGACCAGCTATTCTCCTAAATTTCCTGGGGCCTATTGAATTTTTTGGTTTATGTGATATATCTCAAAAGCATAGTATGACCTGTAAAATTTTTTAAATATAAGTTGAAAGTTTAAGGATTCAGTTCAGATGGTAGAGAACAGGACTCAAGCCACTGGAAGTCATCAATTTGAATTACAATTTTAGGTCTTTCCTCTACTTTCCCAACCAACCCAATTAGTATCATGCTGATTTTGAAGACAATATGGTTTCAAAGCTTGGATATAACATTTTTTTTAAAATGTGCTAGCAGAAATGTAATACCAATATATAAACTTATATTCTGTGAACTGTTTCTTGTTCAAGAACTATTATCAGAAATAGATAAAAAAGAGGTAGAAGACAGTGTGGTGTCTGAGGATCACAGTCTTTGGGGTCAGACAGACCTGAATGACAGCCCCTCCCCTTACGAGCTGTATGACCCGAGTCTGAGTCTGTGTATGTGTCTATAACATACAAGTCCGAGTGGTCATAAGGACTGCACAAGACAATGCATATGTCTATAAAGTAGGTACTCAGTAAGTTAGGAAAGGAGAATATGGAGATAAGAAAAACCTAGGTCCCATGACAGACTGACCAGAGGGGTCAGGATTTTGGACCTAAATCACAATGCTGTCTCTGCCACTGCCATGTGCGGCCTTGGTTGCAATTCTAAGCAAAAAGGGTTATACATCTCTCTTCCTACTCCAGGCTTCTCTGTAAGTGGCCAGGCAGAGAATATGAGCCAGTGTAAGTTAGTCACAAACAGGTCAAATCTTAACTCAGTATGACATGCATCTGGTATATGTGAAGAGATCTGTAGTCAAGTGCATCTGGAATTCAGTCACTATATTGCCATGATTTGGGGAAAATGACATAATCTCATTTTGGCTTTTCATCCTTCAAATGACCCCTTTGTCCAAGTCAGCATATTTCAAAGACTAAGTAGCAAGACATTTTGTTAAAGGCTAATTTTCTTAGAAATCTGCAATGAAAATATCCTGCAGGTCTCAAAGGTAGGGTCCCCTATTTCATAATGCGAAGTAGATTAATACTATTTTAAAACCTTTCATAACAGACATTTAATTTAATACCTTCACTGTGGAGGAAAAGATTATCAAAATACAACATCCCCAAAAGCACAACTTTGAAAATGCCAGTTTTGTTCTTACAGGACTCAAAACTTTAATGGCATTTCCATCATACAGTCAGGAAGTAGAACAAGCCCTCAAGAAAAAAGCAAAAATGCAAATATCTTCTCCAACTTCTTTTAAAAAACCTCTGAAAATTTCCTTACAAATGAAGTAATTTTCACAGTGGTGATAGCTATCATTGGTGTGACATGTTTAATATGATTGTAGTCAGAAGGGAAGCTGGGCCTGTGATTTTTCTAGAAATTGAAAAGCACCATCATTAAGATAAGGAAGAGAAAGATGTGTATCCATCTTTTGGGGACCTGCAAAGCGAGAGCAGAGTCTCACAGCCGGGGAATCAGTGGCTGGTGCCGGAGGAGCTGGGGAGGCTCTCCAGTAAGCGGGTGATCCCTCTTCCCCGGACACTGCTGCTTTGGCTAGAAATTTTCACCCCTGATGGGTAGTCACCTACGATATCGAGAATACAAGAAAAGAAACATGACTTTGTAGTTGTATGACAAAGAAATCCCTCAATTGACTCTTACCCTACTGTGGACCTCTAGCTAAGCCACAGCTTAATGGGTCACGAAGAGGAGAAAGATACTTAGGGTAGAGACGAACAACAGATTCTCAGAGTGAAAAAGCACAAGGCTGACCAAGGACATTCCTTTTTTGTTTTTAGCTGTGGAAACTTTAAGTTCTCCAGGCACCAGCTTTTAAACTTTCCCATCTCCTCAAAGACATCATCACCTGAAAACTATAAAACTATAGCTGCTGTAATAACAACAGGTTCTATTTTAAATACACTGAACAAAAATTTTGATGGATAAAAATTGTATCAAAGTGATACAAAAATGTACATATTAGAATTGTTATGTATGAACATTTTTATTAACATTAACAATATTAATTGGCTAATGCCAAATACAACTCCCCATTCAACAAGATCCTTCTTATCCTAAATTTAGGGCACCTGTTAAAGTACCAGACCCTGGACTTTAATAAGATTTAAGACCCTAAACCCTTTGAAGTGCATTCTGATAAAATATAAGATACTTACCAGTGGGTGTATCTGCTCTTTGTTCTGGATTAGGAGAGCGGAAATTAGAGAATCCTGGACTCTCAACCCTTAGTTTCTATAAGTAAAAGAAAGAAAAATACCAAAAGGGAAAAATGTTTCTTTTTTTAAATCAGTTCTTGGATCATCTACTTCAATTTCAAATTACTCTTTAGAAAATACAAAATCCCATTTTCCAAAGTCTTAACAATTTTTGAAGAGTGTTGCTGTGAAGAGAAGCAGAGGGTAGTCTTTGGAGGGAAACTTCAGGGTCAAGAGAATTTTTAAAGATGAGATTATATAGCATTTATAAAAATGATTCAGAACAGAGAAAAACCCCGATGATGTAGGAAAGTGACAAATTATTGGAGCCTTGACCCTGAGGAGTTAAGAGAATGGGATCTAATACATAAACAGAAGGACTGGTCTTAGGAACACAGACACCTCATGCATTAAATCGGAAGTAAAGCAGAGTATAATGCAGATAAATGTGGTAGTTGAAATATGTAGAAAATCTCTTCTGATTGTCTGTTTTTTCACAAATAGGAGGCACAAGCATCAGCTAGAACACAGGTGAGCAAAGAAGTGATGGAAGTTTGAAGTGAAAGAAGGTGAGAAATGACTGTCTAGAAAGTGGGAGATGAGTCAACCCGGAGAAATGGACAACTGCCAGGCAGCGAATGCTAAGGGCTCACTTAAAATCAGTGGTGATGAATATTTATTAAGACCAGTTAGCATGGCAGTTTCTTTTCTGCCTCATTTAGTTGCACAAGTACAGGAACAGAGTAGGTGAGTGAAGAGTTAGATTTAAGCAGGGTTAGTGTTTGTCAACCAAGTATGATGAAAAAAGGAGAGCCAGTGGAGGTGACGGTATGAGTGAGTGAAAATGACAGACCAGGGAACCTAAACTGGGCAGGAAGGCGGTGAGGGCCAGGGGAAGAGGTGGCAGCACAAGGCTGCAGCTTGTGCTGTAGCGCTATGCGGAATGGGGGCCCCCAGGTGTGCAGCGCCATGGCCCTACAAGGGAGTCTGGGACACGGCAGAGGAGCGCGTGAACTGCAGGTGCTGGCAGGGACCCAAGGACGGCTGGCACTGGGCAGGGTCCTCGACACTGGGATTACGCAGAGGGCGTCCCTGGGGTCTCGGATATGACTGTGGGGGTGGGAACCTGATGTGTGCTGGGTGACAGGATCATGCGGAGGGAAGCTGAGGAACCGAGACATCAGGCAGCTGGGAGGGATACTGTGGTGGAAACGGATCAGGAATTCTGACAGGGGCCCTGTTGGAGCCCTTGGCTCAGTGCTGCTTTAGGAATGAGGACGGCGGACTCAGGGGCCTCCTGAGCCTTAGGAAAGGGTATCAGACACTGCAGCCTGCAGGGCATGAGACTACAGCCAAGGGATTGTAGGGAGAGAGAAAGAAGTCTGGGAGGTGCAACATTAAATAAGGACAACTACCTCAAATCTAGGCCCATGATAAATGAGGAAGGAAAAGATGTCGCCATTTGAAAGAGCTAACAGGGAAGCAGGGCCTTTAGTGGACAGCCAGATTTTAGTTAGAACCAAGGAGGTAAACAGACCTTCCCAAGAAGAGGAAGAAGATGTGTGAGAATAATGAGGCTGAGAAAACTCCCAGGGCAGCTTTTCAGGAGCTGGGGAGGGAGGGCGAGGAAGCAGAAGGAGCCCAAGATGAGTCTGGGAGGTGAGAGGACCTCGGTACCCTGAGGTTCCACGGTGACCAACGCAAACAGTGACGGGGGCATAACAGATGCATACGAGGAAGTAAATAGCAAGGAAGGACAAAGGTAACAGGGAAATTAGGCAGCTTCTCACCAAATCCTGAAGCAGGTCTTACTTTTTTAGTAAATACATTAAATACAAAATCTACATTCAGTTATTTAATTTTTGGAATAAATGTTTAAATGTGTTTTGCACAAAAATTACCTGCCAATTTTAATTTTCTTAAAACTGTGTTAAATATAGAGGGAAAATAAGCCAGGGAGGAAAAGGATTTTATGCAAGATCTGACTGGATTAAGAACTGCTTGACATTCCATGAAGGATTTTTAAAATCGCTTAAGGAAGGGAACAAACCTCACAAAGGCCATGCTGACCAGGACCACACTGAGAGGACAGAAGGGACCAGCCGCGCCCGGCAGGCGGCTCCTTACCTGGTAACGCCCCGCATCCAGTACAACCATTTTGGGTGTCACACTATTGCTGGCCTCATAATCCTGGAGTGGGATGTGAGCCTCTGTGAGCTGGATTCCAAAGAGAGTGGCCAGGGAGTTACTGATGCAGTACCTTTAGGAGGAAATAAGAAAAGCTCATTATCAGGATCTCATCTAATTCATTCTAAAGCCATTTATATTTTTAAGATTTCTAACATAAAGGAAAAGCATGTTAGAGATATTGTTCTTAAATGGGGAAAAAAGAAATTTAGAGACTCAAAGAAGAAAGGGGAATAGGCAGGAATATTACCATAAACTGGATGTTACTGGCAACAAAGACTGATGACTAGATAAAATCTCAGGTTCATTAGAAGGGAATGGGAATGAGGGTGAATATTATTAGAATCCTCACATGTCTCAGGCAGGGTGAGGGCAGCCCCAGAAATACTAAAAATAAACTTGGAAAACACCAATCTATCCTCAGCACCAACTATTACCAGCCGTGTACAGGGACCCCCAGAGCACCTGGGGACCTGAGGCTGCAGGTGCATTCACTACAAAATGAGAAGAAGAGAGTCCAGAGTTTGAGCACCTTCACCAGGAGGTTGCTGTCCTTACTGACAGCAGGGAATTTTGCTCTCCTACAGGAGTCCCAGAAGGAAAATTTTCACAAAGTGCTTCTGAAGATTCGCCCAAAGTGCTCACATGGTAACTGTGCCAGGCAAGTAGTGACCTGTGCAGAATTACACTAATATGCAGTAAAAAGAGAGAACACAACCAAACCTCTGTTGTGAAAGACAATTGTGGAAATGGAGGCAAACAGTGGTGCACCCCAGCTGGCAGAACCACAGCGACACACAGTGCAGAGCCCACTGCTGGGGGCAAACTTTCTCCAACTTACGCGATTTTCTTGCAAACAGCTAAAGCACAGAAAAGAATGTCATTTTCTTCATGCCACTTGCACCTGTGCCAAGAAAAAATGACTTTAACATCCTGATTTAACTGAAGTAACATGGCTTAAAGGTTTCTATATGCCAGATTTCTAACCTAGATAGTTGAAATCATTTAAGAAAAACTGACACCATTAAAGGTTAAGGTTTCTAATTAAACACTCAAATTTTTTAAAAACAGATTTTTTTGTTACCTCCTCTGATGCAAATGCATGACACAAGCAAACCATATAAAACCCTAACAGATAAATTTTACTTTGAATTAAAACGAGTGATCCGGAGATACACTAGTGACTATGGTTAACACACACTCATTCAACAAACATTTTCCGAATTCAAACTACTCACTAGGCATTGTTCTGGGCACTAGGGATTCACTACTGAAAGAAACACAAACTCTTACCCACAGAAAACTACTTTCTAGTGGTGAAAACAAATCAAAAAAGATATGCAGGCATAATACATCGTAAGCTAGATAATAAATACTAAGGAGGAAAAAAGTAGACGATGACATGAAAAGTTGAAAAGGTGTGACATCAGACAAGGGGGCCGCTGAGCGGCGACCTCAGGCATGGATACTCGGAGGAAATGAGCCACAGGACACCAGCACGAAGGTGTCACTGCAAACCTGCGCATACTCCCCCTGGGGTGCAGTCTACGGAGACTCGCAACGGCACAGCCTGCATTCACAGACACCAGGTACATATTAAGTGGGCAAAAAATTGCAGAACACCAGTAACTTCCATAAAATAGTATCATAAACAACACTGATCACAATGCAAAGAATTTACTAACAAAACTCAGGCCTTTCCATTTGGACATGTAAAAGCTTTAAATTAACTCCTGGCTTAAAGCGAGTTGAAACTACAGTAAAATGGCAAAATACTGCATGCCAATCTATGGGATGTAGAAAATTCATTCTGCTAAATACTCATCAATTAAAAAAATTAATGAATTAAATTCCAAGCTCAAAAAACTAGAAAAAGAACAAAGTACCAAGGAAATAAGATAGATGCAGAAATTAATGAGAAAGAGAATAAAAAGCCCCCAGCAGATCTAATAAGTTAAAGTCCTGTTGTTTTGAAAAACCTTAACAAAATAGACATTGCACAGGAAAAAAGAGAAGCACAAATATATAAGAAACAATGAGATAAATCACCAGAGACAGAAGAAAAATTTAAATTATGAGACTACTTTGTAGACTTTGAAACAAATTTGGAAACCTATACACTATATTTCTAAGGAAGAAATTACCAAAAGTGGTCCCATTAGCATTAGAAAGCCTCATCAAATCAATTTCCATGGAAGAAACAGTTATCAAGGAAATGACCCACAAAAATTTACCAGTCCCGGATATGCAGAGCCTGTGCAAGAAAAATTTTGAAATAGGCTTGAAAGACTCCCAAAGTAGATTTGGAAAATGCAAGGACATCTCTTGTCCTTAGATAGAATTCAATATTAAAAACATTTCAGATCTCAATTTACTAATTTAATGCAATCCATGGAGTTTTTATGGACCTTGTATGAGTGATATGTCTGAATATACTTTGTGTGAGCTATATTCATGCATTACACATTCAAAAAAATAAGAAAAATCAACATGGATGGGAAAAAACAAAAGTGGAACAGAACAAGCAAATGGACTTAACTACAGTAATTTAACCACACTGGAGTGGGTGGGGTATGGAAAGAGAACTGATTCAAGTAACACTTTTGAACGAAGTATTTTGACCATGTATCTTTAGACCAAAACCAGATTCTGCACTTCAGTTAATATTTTGTTTTGACAGTGGAATCACTTAACTATTCTGAAACAATTTTTAATGCAATGGGACTGAACAAAACAAGTAAGAATTACTGAGTGCCAGAAGGGAAATACAGAAATAGAAGAGTGGAAAACAAGAGAACTCTGCAGTGTTGGTCTCAAATTGCAGGTTTAGTATGAAAACTCATGGTGAGAGAAAGAGCGTGCGTGCAGGAACACAAGAAAGAGAGACCTGGCTACAGAGAAGTGTGTGTGGAGAGCGCGTACACACAAGTATTTCCAAGCTCTCTCCACTAAGGGGCACAGGAATCAACGACACTCCATAGGAAGGAGCACCTCTGGCACCCAGATCCTACCTACTCAATACTCCCCCCCACTTAGAGGAACCAGGGCTCTTTGGAAAAACAGCTGTTCCAAAACAGGAGCAAGGGACGCGTGAGGTGAGCCCGGGCCACAGTGAGCCTGGAACAGTGGGCAGAAAGCAGAGCAGTCCCCCAGGATGATGAGCAATGTCAAAGGACACAAACGAATGCTTCATAAGGGACTCCTCCACGGCCACAAATGAGACAGAGTAATTAATCTAAGCATAAAAATAAGCTGAAAGCAACAGGCTGTAGACACAGAAAAAAACAGGACTCCCTGAGTTCATACTCATATAAATGAAAACAGCGAATGAGTGAAAAGAAGTTCTCCCGTACAAGTTGAACACCTACTAATAAATGTAGAAGGAACATTTCGGTTATAAAACACCATTTCACAAAAATAGTAATCTCTGATTCAGGCAAAAATCATCAACAATGTTCAGCTAGCACACTAAAGTTTGAGGAATAAAATAGCTCCTAAATCTCAAAATATCTCCCCAGAAAATAGTACAAGGTGCAAAACAGTGACTTTTCAATGGAGAAATCTGGCAAGTGCTACTTCAGGCAAGTGGTCAAAGTTATCATCTCCCGGGACAAACTGACATCAAACGCCTCCTCAGAGGCAAACTCAGCCGCGCAACAGTCTGTAAAGCAACGCGCCTGCACACTTCACAAGTCCGAGGAGCTATTCCGGATTAAAGGAGCCCGAGGGAGACGGTAACTGCCACAGGCCGCCTGGGAGGGGCCCTGGATTCTTCCTTTGCTATGAAAGACATTATTGGAAGAAGAGCGAAATATGAACATGGCCTTTAGATTAGATGACAGCATTGTCGTCAAGGCAATACCATTTTGATGATTCTATCACGGTAATATGAACGTTTTTGTTCTTAGGAAAAACATACTGATATTTAGGGTGAAAAGGCATGACAGCAACCTACATTCAAGAAGTTCAGAAAAAGAAACAGTGTATATATATATTTAGAAAGTAGTAAAGAAAATGCATTAAAATGTTCACAATTAGGGAATCTGAGAGAATGATACAAGACTTTTCTGTACTATTCATGCAACTTTTCTGGAAGCCTGAAATTATTTCAAGATAAAATACATTTTCACCAATTTATTTATATATTTCTTACATGCAACTATAAAAATTCTACATAACAAAACATCTGTGTAAATAAAATATTAATTTATCAATAAAGAAATTCTAAGTGATAAAGCACTGTGTCAGTTTATTTGGTAGTGTTTTTTGTTCTTAGTGGTAGGTAAAGTAACAATGTATCTTACAATCAAAGGAATCTTATATACAAAGAAATATGATTCCAAAGGGAAGTACTGCCCAAAAAGAAATTAATCCTACCAGATTTTCTCACTTCAGAATAGAATTAAAATCACTATCACAAAATCATTCCAAATACCTTGTGTTGCTAGAATAATCCCACATGGCCACATCTAAGAGGCTCCGAACCCAGGTCTTAGAAGGCTCCTTGAGAAATTTTTGCTGGTAGATCTCCACTACGAGATCCTCCACAGTGAGAAGCTCTAGATTTTGCCTGATTTCTTCTATTGGTAAACAGAGAAACACATACAATTAGTGAATGAGGTACATGGAACACGTACATAAAAATTGAAACAAATAAAAGTATTATAATACACTTGAGCAGTGAGTGACTCAGTTTCACTTACGTGATGCCTTTGCCATTTGCTGCAAACACCAGTTGACTCTGGCTCTATCATTAGACTGGAAAAGAGAAAAAGCCTACTTGTATTTTCTCCTACCTCAAGTTACTTTTCATTAATTGCTATCTTTTCAAACGGGGGCTGGGGGTGGGGGGGCAAGAAGGGAGAAACTGAAGAGTTTGTGACAACTAAACGAGAACTAAGAAGAAAGGCGACTTCTATCAGCAAAGACCGCTGCTATTAATAGTCACGTTTATAAAGCAGTGTTAACATACCTATGAAAAGCAAGTGTCCTAGTGTAGGCAAATACAGAAACCAGCGCCCAGGAAAAGATAAGAATCTATTTATGGTTACACTAATAAACAGTAACACTAAAACCCAATTCTTTTGACTCATAGCCTAGAAGAATTTAGACAAAATAAGGAAAAATAAAGTCTCTTTAAAGATTACAAAAAGAGGGTCAAGGCATTGCTACAAAAACAGTTTCAAACAAACAGTAATCTTGTTTAGAAGGATACATATGCAGACTACATCTATTCTTCAGGATAAAAAAGGTATTTTTCTTCAGGGTACTGAAGATATTTCAGAATGAAGAACTAAAACATGAGATCCATTAAGTAGGAATATGTTCGGCTTTTTCAGTCCTCAAAATCTCCCAATACCAGAGAAATTTAGAAAAACGCATTATACCCGATCACATTAAAGAGAATTCAGAATGAACCTGTTTTAATACACACGGCTAATACAAGGGCAAAGTTCTTTCTTTGGGTACCTTTCATGGATTTTCTGGTATCCAAGCAGATGCCTTAAAAGTAATTCTCATGTTGAAATTACCTTGCAGTAGATTGGTGGCCAGCCCCCTGGGTTTGTGTGAATAAACCTACAAAGGTTTTGTAACACAGTTGCTTGGTCATACCCAAATTCAAAGTTTGAAATAGGAATCTTGTGACTAGAATCACCTGAAGGAAACAAAAAGAGGTAGGGATTCAAAACTGGACTAAGACAAATATAGAGCAGGTACGGGAGCAGGTGTACAGGAAGCAGGTAGTGGGTACCTCCTGTTTAAGCACTTGTAAGCAAGCCTGGTTATGGTTAGGTACTTCACCTTTTTTATCCCATTTTGAGGTAGGTGTATACATCTTAGAGAACAGACAAATTAGAGTCACAGAAGTCACTACTAAGTTAATAGCTGGTGAACAGCGAAGTCAGGACTCAAACCCAGGCTCATTAAGTGACTGAACCCACGGTGTTTTCACTATTCCCACGCTGCCTGTCGTGAACCTATTTTATTGATGAGGCTGGAGAGCCTAATAGAAGTGACTGCTTTTTAAAAGGGTGTATGATGAAGATGTCCATTTACAGTAAAAAATGGACCAATTAACGCTAAGCGACCTTCTCCTGAAAATTTACAGTGCTTGAGAATATCAAGAGACATCCAGTAGCAGAGAATTACTGGATCAAGATAGAAGAGAGTACAGACATCCAGAGAGATGAACCCAGCTTGGAGGCAGTTCTTCCCCTAGAGTCACTTGTCATGTCCACAAGAGGAAGGTGAATGACAGCTTTTGGGACAGGTTGATACCTGACTGAAAGCTCTGCAGAGAGAAAAATGCAGTATGGAATTATGAACCCAAAATCTTGGAAAGTAAGAAATCCCCCAGAGCTGGTTAATCTGAAGGTCAAAAAAAATTTTAAGGCTTATTTTCACAAGTCAATTATTCATCAGAGCCACAATGATAAAGAAACAGTAAGTCAGTGGCACTCTCACAAATGAGTGTCTGGCACACAGTAGGGACTCCAATGCATTCAACAGATGAACAAACCAGAAACAGAGCTTAAGTAGAAAATGTGAACTTAATTCACCAGCTAAATTTTTTTTTTTATTCCTACCTATTTGGTTGAGTAACCTCAGGTGATATAATACTTGGGGAGATTAGCTAGGTTCACACTTCAAAGCTACAAAACAATCTTCTTCTCTATTAAAAATCTTTTCATTCATAGCTTGTAAGGCAACCTATCCTTGTTCCACAGCCTAAAGCCCTAAAGCCAGGCAAACAAAAAAAGTCATTAAGACTGGAAAAAACTCAAAGGACATAACCAAAAATGAGCCTAAAACACTGTCTTCATTTATAAAAAGCAGCACTGTTAAGTGGTACAAACCAGCTGCTTGCTATGGCAGATTTGAAAAACTTATTTCTAATTTCAAACACTTGTACAGGCCACTTATTAAAAAAATGCTTTTAATCCAACAATGACACTTTGAATATGAATTAAAAATAAACCTATGATGACTCTCATTCTAATCAAACAGGAAAAGGATTAAAACCTAGTTTCTAGAAAAGTTTAGTTCAAGAGCTTAGGTATAGAGTCATGTCCTTTGGTTGCAAAACCCTTAAAAACCTGTTTTCCTCATCTAAAAAAATAGACAGCTGTTTTGTCTAACATTTTATTCTGTTGCTTTTAAAGTATCAACTCTTTTTTCCCTTAATTTTGAATGGACATCCCTCTAAATGGCCCTCAATCTAGATAATCTGATACCTCTTTAAAAGACTTACTGATGTACCAGGCCAGTAAATGCAGCTGATCCTGAGGCCAAGGGATATACGCAGAAATAAAACCAGACTCCCCATATAGGAAAAGGGATATTATCCTACAAGCCTATATAATTTTAAAGTTTTGAATAATCACATACACCATCTACCACTTCTATGAAGATTTAAAGCAGTAAGTCTTGCCAGCTACACACATATTCAATACCTATACTCACCCCATGCCTTTATACTTACTTGCAGCCTGACAATGAAAACGAAATCCTCGTGGAATTTCACCTATAATACAAAGTAAAGTACTGGTTCAAAGCAGCAGAAATCGGATGCGTTCTGGTTGTGCTACAGTCATATTCCCCAGGGTGACCAAGACATAACACTGGTAGGTAATTTTTACCGTTACATGAAAATACCAGAGACTAAACATTCAAAGCATATTTTTTTAACCAAAGGTATGATGCTCAAAGAATTTTGGTATATTGTCTACATTACTTTAAATAAAGCAAGTTATTCCTGAGAAATAGGAGGCAAAGAAAACTTGTGCTAAAAGGAGTCTTATGTAGGGGTTTACAAGGCCCCTGATAGAACAGGGTATATATGTATTTCTCAGAGAAAAAAAGTCTGGTCCAAATTCTCTATTTTTAATGTTTTACACCATATGAAAAAAACACTTATTTGACTTTTCCTAAGCAGCAACTCTTACAAGTGGGAGTAGGATAAGTTCTGTCACCTAAAAACAAGGAAAAGTGCTAGGGTGGTCTAATGAATTTGAAAGTAATTGGCAAAACTAAAGTTCTTTCCTAACTACTTTTCCTTTACTCTGCTCCAAGTTTCTCCTACTACCTCTAAAGGTCTAGTGAGTGTTCCCTTAACTGCTATCTATCCTCTTGGGAACTGAAGCAAACCCCATGTCTTCATTACTAATTGCTTTTGATGGGGTGCAGTAGCAGATGAGATCATAACATCTGAGAGCCTATGAGTACTAGGCTACTTCTATACCGGCTCATGTATTCCATAGAACAGCCCTCCATTAGCTACTCTACAGATGACCTAATAAATTCAGGAAGGTTAAGTATTTTGCTCAAGGTTACAAACAAATCGCAGGTTAAAAACTAATGACCACTGAGGTAAAGAATGAAGAAATAAAAGAGCATAATAAGGCATAGAAGCATTTAGAAAATTCCAAGATGTAAAACTGCAGATAAGCAAATGGACTACACATTTTTTAAGGCAAAATGTCCACCCAACTCTTATGCTTACTTGAGGTTAAAAGCTTAAACCAAAACTCAGTGCAACACCTAATTCTTAATAGTTTTCAACCAGTTAATATGAAGTTTTGTTACATTTTAAGAACTCAGCTGTGCATCAGCTTTTAAGAGAACAAATACTGTTATCAAATAAAGTCAAGGGAAAAAATGGCTTTTTAAAGGTCTAGCATCTACTCAGCTAACTACTCACCAGGATTTATAAAACTGTGGAAATCTGCCACAATACCTTCTTGGAGAGAATATTTAACACAGCCTATTTCACAAGGGAGGAAGCGCTGTGGACAATGAGGAGGTAGTTCACCATGGCTAAAAATGTTCAGAAAATAAAAAATGCCTCCAAGGAGTGCTAAAAAACAAAACAAAAAAACAAACATAAAACATGAACAGATGAGCATCTCAAAGTTACCCCTTCATGAAAAGCAATAATTGCAGAACCGTTTTCCTTTTTTCCTATCTTCCTAAATGAGCTGGAGAAAACTAATCAGCTGTACCAAAAAAAATGAGTCAAAATTTTTGCAATTATATTCAAGAATTAAAGTAGTAACCACTCCTTGTTTGAAGCAATAGAAGGGCTCAGACGTGCAGCCAGCCCCACATAACTCGGCTGCACGCGCTCTCTGAGGCGCAGGCTGGCTTAAGCCGCGACCCACATTCAACGAGCAGAAGGGGTGGGGAACAAAGCCAAGTAGAATCAGTGCAGAAAAACTGTGTGATAAAAATTATGGACAAGGTAATTCACTCTCAACTTTTTACCGATACATACAAGACCACTGATAAATCCTCTAAAGAAAGGGTGGCAAATGTGGGAAGGGTAATTATCAAGATTGGCCACATTTAAGACTGTTAAGATTTTATTAATCTTCAACAACATCAAAACAATTAACAAAAACAGCCAAAAGGAATAGCAAGGACTTCCTATTAACATATTCTTTTATGGGCTAGCTCAATAATTCGTCTTTACCTTTAAAAGTGAAATGTATTTAAGTGTCCAGCTATAAACACTTACATCCAAAAGTATGCTCAAGAACACACACAGGACAGAAACCAAGAGACCACATTTTTTGTTTAAAAAAAAAGGCAACTCTCCAGTGTTATTTCAACAAATGTAAATACCCTGATCTTTCACAACTTCAGCACCATCATATTTGAACACTTGCAGTTAATAACTTTGAAATGCAGGATCAAAATATACAAAACATATACTTAATGATCAATATATCACAGTGTTCTGAACACCCAAATTTGACTACGTGACACGTTTTAGGATTACCTTGATCATTTTTGAGAGACAAGCTTGATACATCTGGGGGTGAAACATTCTCCCTTGGTACAAGCGTGCCTGGCCTCACCAGCGGAGTGGAAACAGGTGTCTAAAGAGGAAGATAATGGATTAACCATACGCTTAAACTCTTATTGGGCACTGGATACCATACACTTTAGTCTAGGAAAATACCTAGGAAACACTGTAGATTATTTCAGTAACCTCTCCAGGGCAGTGAACTCAATGAGTAAATAACTACCTATTTCTCACTGACACCAACACCCAAAGGCAGACAATAGCAAAATCTATAAACACTACCAAAAGGTGAGTGGTAAATAACTAACTCAGCTACTGCTAAAAGTCATTTGCCCATTACTGATGATATAGATTAATAATATATGCCAGCCCAGTGGCCAAAAGAACTTTAGCCAAATACAATATGGCTTCCATTTTTAGGGGAGATACAAGAAATTGTAGTAAGAAAAAAAAAATCAAGGTTCACAAGTAGAAGTACAAATTCAACTGCTTAGAGCTTCTGCTCAAACACAAATCCACACAACGATCTCTCAAACCTAAAGCACACAGAACTCCCATCATTTTTCAATCCAATGTTGACAGTTTAAAATATGAATAGAATTTTGCGATCTAAGAATAGAACACGGGGGTAAGGGGGGCTCCAAAATTACCCTGCGTTTTGACATAAATCATCAACAAACTTTATTTGGTATTTGACATTCCACTACACAGAAATTTACCCAATTAAACTTTATTCATCGCTTACCTGTAAGGCACACAGAACATTCACGAAGACCAACAAGTCTTGTTATTTTGAACACAGCAGCTGGCCTGGTTCCAAGTGTCATTTAAAAAGAAAGCATGGTCCAAACTACTTTTAAACACTCGAAAAAAAGGTTCTTTAAACATAAAGGAGTTGAAAGGGACCCTCAGAAGTTACCTAAATACCAAGGCTCCCACTGCTGATCGAGGCTTACCGGCGGCAGGTTTCCTAGCAGGGGTTTTCCTGGCCTTTCACCACCAGATGATACCAACGTGTGCCCCACTCACGCGGCCTGTTTTAACAGGCATTTTGACAACAGGACAAAAATGAAGGGCTTTTCTCTGCACTGACCAGAATCACCTGCTAGACCCCTGGCGTCCGCCCATTCGCTCAACAAGCCAAGGCGCCGGGCAGGGAGCTGCTCTTCCCCAATTTTACCTGATTCTTTGCCGGCCCCGGGTCCTTTCTGTGGACGGCCCTCCACTCTCGAGCCATTTCTGTGTACTTCTTCTTCTCTTCCTCCCTCAGGAGCTTGGGGAGATTGGGGGGGGGGCGGAAGGGGAGAAGCAGCGGTGAGGTCCGAGTCCCCGGGCCCGTCGGCCGACGCCCGGATGCCCCGGGAGGCTGTTCTGGGGCGGACGGCCCGGGGCTGGGTACGGACCTTCTCCCCCAGCAGGCGCCCGGGTCCTTCACCCTCGAGGCCTCCTTCCCGCCGCCCGGCCTCCCACCTGCCCAACTGCCCGCCCGCCCAGCCGGCCTCACCATCCAGTCAGAGGAGCAGTAGGGGGCGGCATCAGCCACGCGAGACACGGACAGGCCTTGCCGCCGAAGCTCGGGCATTTTCTCCTGCACGAAGAAGTAGAAGGCGTTGCGGCTGGCCTTGCGGTTCGGCATGGCGAGCGCGGACAGGCTTCGACTTGGGCCTGGGATACGACAATACGGGGGCGCCCCCTCTGGGCTCCCGCCCTCAGTAACCAAGGTCGGCGCCTGCGTACGCAGGCCTGCAGCTCTTGACCAATCACGGCGTGGCGCGCAGCCGCACTGGCCCCGCTGGGAGGGAAACAGTCAAGACCAGAAGCGTCGCCCTCGCGCGACTGGCGGGCGGGGGAGCGTGGCCGCAGGTGCGAGGCGCTCTGATTGGCTGGGATAAGTCGCTGGCGGGCACGCCGTCACGTGGAAGGCGCGGCACGATTCCTGCCCATTACTGCGTAACACACGTCCCAGTAGGTAGAGGAAAGGAGGGCTCGCGAGCACCTGAGGTTCTGTGGTGTGGCCCAGTAAAGGGCCAGTTTGTGCCAGAGGAAGGGACACGAGGTACAAGAGCCTCCCTCAAGAAATTTACATTCTAAATGAGGGAAGGAAGACAAAAACAAGGGAACCAATCAATCCGATTTTTAAAAAAAGTTTCGTTTTTCCCATTCTCAAGTAACACTATGATAAAGAATACGGCTTTTTTTAATGCAATTTTTTAAAACAAGTTACAAAGGAAACACATACAGTTTAAGAGGCTGAGATTTGAACTAATGTTTTGCAATAAAGTTTTATAGATTTTTTCTCATAAAGGTCTGGTTCATTTCTGTTGGTTCTACTTCTAGAATATGTATGGATCGATTACGAAAATTTTATTTTTTTTCATTGTATTTTCTAGTTAGCTACTGCTGGTATGTAGAGAAGGTATTGGTTTTAGTGTTAACCTTGTGTGTTTAATCACCGTGCTGAACTCTCACATTGGTTCAAATAGCACCAGTCGATTCTCTTGGACTTTCTAGTTATATACACTTCCCAGAGAAATGTCCTCTGTGTTCAGTTTACTAAGAATGTGTATACATGTTGTATGTGTATGTTTTAAAGTCAAGAATAGGAGTTGAAAATATATTAAATGCTTTCTGTGCATAATAAAACCACATGCTTTTATTCTTTGTTACTAAAATATTGCTAGATTTTCCTAATGTTGCAGCTTCTCCCTTTCCTGGTATAACTTTATCTTGGTCATGAGGTATTGCTTTTTCAAAAATCATACTTAAGATTTTTGCTTCCTTGATTGTAGTGATACTGAATTACAGCTATTTTTCTTTGTGCTATCCTTACATAATGTTGGTATCAGCCTTGTTATAGCCTCATAAAATGACCTGCCATCTTTTTTTTTGTTCCCGTTGAACGGTAGATGGGAATCATCTATTCATTGATAGTTTAATTGAATACTAGTACAATTTTTTGATCCTCGTATATCTTTGAAGGGTGGGGTTGACCTTTGATTACTCTTTCAGTATTTTGTATGATTTAGTTTTTTCAGGTTTCCTATTTTTTTGTCCACCAATTTTGGTAATTTACAACTTTATAGGAAGTTCTTTATGTCTCCACGCATACTAGTATAAAATGTTGGTGAGGATGTGAAGAAACTAGAACTTTCATATATTACTGGTGAGATAATTGCATGACAGTGTCTTACAAAGTTAAACATATACATATCATAGGACCAAAAATTCCACTCATTTAGGATAAATGAAAATATATACCTACACAGATATTTACATGAATTTTCATAGCAGCTCTATTTATGTGCATTAACAGACGAATTGATAACCAAATTGTGGTATATCCATAGTAGAGTGGTACTCAGGAATGAAATGAAATGAACCATTGATACTCACCATGAATGGATTTCAAGATAATTTTGTGGGTGAAAAAAGGTGTACATACTATATGATTCGAATTATTCAAAAGTCAAGAAAAAGTACACGTTTCTTTATAGAATTCACATCAGCCATGACTGGGGGGCCAAGCGCTAGGAGGAAGAGACTGAGAACTGACACAGGGAATCTTCCTGGTTGGCAGAAATATTCTCTACCTTGATTGTGGTCGTGGTGCTTACAAGTAGTACATAATTATCAAATTATGTATTATGTTTTATTGCGTCTAAATTATACCTCAATAAAATTAATGTAAAAAAGTTATTGGCATAAATTATATTTGCATGTGATTTAAAATATGTATTCTAATATTGCCTCCCTCTTTCATCCTAATATTATTTATACCTTCCTTTTTTCCCCCAAACTTCTAAAGTTTGTTTTATTAATCTTCTCAAAAAAAAACAGGTTTAGGTTTTATTGGTAGAACTTCAGTTTTCCATTTCTGCTTTATGAATTCCCTCATCTACTTACTTCCAACTATTTTGTGGTTCTTACTCTAATTTCTTGCATAAACAGCTTTAATCAGTTATTTTCAATTTCTACTTACCATATCTCTAGGTTTATTTTTCCTTTTTCTGGTTTAGTTGTATTAGTATTTTCTGCCTTTTTTCGTCTGATTGTTTCAAATTATGTTCTATTTTGCTTCATTCCGTGGCTATCCATAAATTTTTAACAGTTGTTTTAAAACATTTTTATAACTTATACAGTTAACAGGTATCCATACCCACTCTTCCCAAATATACAAGAAGCTTAGAACATTACTGCTTCCCCCCACCTAGTCTCCCAACACATTCCTCTACCACCCCACTCCATGTCCCATGTTGATGTCATTTGGGATTTTAGCTCCAGATTGCTTTTTTTTTTTTTTTTTTTTTTTTTTTGAGAGGGCATCTCTCATATTTATTGATCAAATGGTTGTTAACAACAATAAAATTCAGTATAGGGGGGTCAATGCTCAATGTACAATCATTAATCCATCTCAAGCCTAATTCTCGTCAGTCTCCAATCTTCTGAAGCATAACGAACAAGTTCTTACATGGTGAACGAATTCTTACATAGTGAATAAATTCTTACATGGTGAACAGTACAAGGGCATTCATCACAGAAACTTTCGGTTTTGATCATGCAATATGACCTATAAACCATCAGGTCAAATATGAATATTCATTTGATTTTTGTACTTGATTTATATGTTGATCCCACATTTCTCCTATTATTATTATTATTTTTATTTTTAATAAAATGCTGAAGTGGTAGGTAGATGCAAGATAAAGGTAGAAAACATAGTTTAGTGCTGTAAGAAGGCAAATGTAGATGATCAGATGATCAGGTGTGTGCCTATGGACTAAGTATTAATCCATGCTAGACAAGGGCAGCAAGACATCCACGGATGCAGAAGATTTCTCTCAAAGCAGGGGGGGTGAGGTTCTGAGCCTCACCTCTGTTGATCCCCAAATTCTCACCTGATGGCCCCCCTGCGACTGTGCCTGTCTTAGGTTGTTCCTCCCTTGAGGAATCTTACCCGTCTCTGGCTAACCAGTCATCTTCCGGGGCCATACAGGGAAATGTAAAGTTGGTAAGTGAGAGAGAAGCCATATTGTTTGCAAAGGTTAGCTTTTTACTTCTTTGCAGATTTATGCCCTGTGGCTTCTATGCCCAGCACTTGTCTCGAGGTATCTTTACCACCTGGAGGAATTATGATACTCGGTAAATTCTATATGAGGCACGAATTCTATTTAAGGTTTGTAATTAGGAAGGAAGAAGAAAAGCTATAGATGTAGCATATGAAGGAAACTTGGGAGGATTGATTATTTCTTTGACATATCCAGATTGCTTTTTTATACCAGTATTGAGACATGATTGAAGTAAAAGAAATTGAATATATCTAAAACACATAGGAACTTTAACTTGCGTAAAGCTGTGAAACCATCACTACCACCAAGATAACGAATGTATCTACCTTCCCAAAGTTTCTTCACCATCTCCCTGGGCTGCTTGAAATTGCCCACAATTCACTGATGCTCTGTTCATTTTTTCCTTCAGTCTTTTTCTCTTTTTACAGTTTCATTCTGCAGTTCCTATTGCTGTTTGTTCATGTTTACCAATCTTTTCTTCTGTAATGTCTAATCTGCTATTAGTCCTGTGAAAATTAATAAAAGGAAATCTCATTTAAAAGTGACTTGGGAGGCCAGAGGTGGCGCTCTCACACCCTACCACTCATAACGAGGAGGAAGGTTTCCTCCTCCCCTGGCAACAACTCAGCTGAGAGTGTCACACCTCAGCCAATGAAAAGCCGTTACACTCCAAACTCCCAGTTCTCTCCAATGGGCTTCCAGTTTAGAAGACTCCTCCCAACCCCTCCTCCCCCACACCACCTTCCTCTATAAAGGGTAGTCCTCTCGGTTTGTTCTCCCCAGTTGGTTGTGGGCTTGCTACATCCAGCTTGTCCCAAATTGCAATTCTCTGTTATTCCCAAATAAACCCATTTTTGCTGGTAAAGTAACTGACAGGTTTTTTTGTTTTTTTTTTTGCACAATAAAAATCTGCCTTTTATTTTCTTGAACAGTTCTGTGAATTTTAGCCCATGTATAGATTGTGAAAATCAGCATCACAGTCAACATAGGAACATTCCTTCTCCGCAGAAAACTCCCTCTGTTTTTCCATTATAGTCACACTCTTCTCCCACCCCTAGTAAATACCTGGCAACTACTAGTCTGTTCTCTGTCACAAGTTTTGTTTTCTCAAGAAGGTCATGTAAGATGAATCCACAGTTTATATCCTGTTCGGACCAACTTCTTTCAGTCATCGTAATTATTTTCAGACTGATCCAGGCTGTTTATGTATCAGTAGTCTGTTGTATGATTATACCATAGTTTACTTACCCACTTACTTATTTACTTGTTGACATTCGAATTGTATATGGTTTCTTGTGATTATGAATAGAGCTGCTGTGAACACTTTTGTACAGGTTTTTGTGTGAGTGTAAGTTTTCATTTCTCTAGGGTAAATACCTAGGAGTGGGACTACTCGGTCATATGGCAAGTGTCTATTTTTCATAAGATACAGTCAAACTGTTTTTCTGTGAGGCTTTCCCACTTTGCATTCCCACCAGCAATATTTGAGAATTCTAGGTGCTCAGAATCTTCATCACCACTTTGTAGTAACTGACAGTTTTATTTTTAAGGTTAACAATCCCATCCAATGTATTTTCTGTGTCAGATCATTCGGTTTTTATCTCTGAAATCTGACTTGAATCTTTTTTAGATGTTCCATATTTCTACTTAACTTGGTCCATCTTTCCTCTACCTTAATATGGAATGTAGTTATAATATGGAATATAACTATTACATGTCCTTGTCTACTCCATCATCTGTGTCATTTCTGGGTCTGTTTCTACTGACTGATTCTTCTCCCTATTATGGATTGTATTGTCCTGTTTCTTTGTAAATTTGGTGATATCTGATTGGATGACAGTTGTAAATTTCACCCTGTTGAATGCTGCTTATTTCTAAATGCTTAGAAATATCTTTTTGCTTTGTTCTGGGACAGAGTTATATTAATTGGAGACAGTATGAGTTAGTTTTTCCTTCTTTTGAGGCTTGCTTTTATGCTTTGTTATTTGGAATCACAGCAACCTTTAGGACGAATTTTCTCCTCCGCTAATAAAAAACACTCTTCTCAGTATTCTGCCTGACAACCCATGAATTTGGAGGCTTTTCCATTTTGGCTGACGGCAACACAAACTATTTCTAGCCCTATGTGAATTTCAAGGATTGTTCCTTCTAATCCTTTCAGGTCTTCTTTCCCTGGCGCTGTGCAGTTTCCTCCCACACAGGCACTGATCAGTATTCAGCTGGAGCTTCAAGGGAGATCTTCAACAGATTTCCAGAGCTCTTTATTTGTGCTGCCCTCTCTTTTCTGGTACTCTGCCCCGCAAACTTTAGCCTCTGTGGCCTGCCTACACACCCAACTTCATGTCCTCAACTTGGGGGGGACCTCGGGGCTCTGTCTTGGTTATCCCTCTTGAAGCTACATTCTGGATACTCTCTCCAGGCAGCAATCTGGAGCAAACAGAGAAATCACATTGTTTCTGTTCTTTCGGGGGTTTGCTCATCTCTGCTCACTGATGTCCACTGTCTGGAAACATTGTTTCATGTATTTCCACCAGTTTATTTAGTTGTTTCAGACTGCTGGATAAATGGATTCCATGACTCTATCTTGACCAAGACTGACTGTATTTTAAAACTGCAAAACAATCTTTAGTTTTACTAAATTAACTGCTAAATGTTTAAGTGGTCTGAGCAGACATCTCAGAGGGGGTGTCATTTAAAATGAGCAAGAATGCAAAGGAACAGAGAAGAACTCAAAGAAGAACATTCCAGACAGAGGGAGCAACATATGTGAAGGCCTCAGAGGATTAAGACCTTGGTGTAGCCTGAGAGCAAACAGAGCCTGTGACGCACCCAGGCAGATGGAGGGTGGAGTGATCGGCAGGGACTGGGCATGGCAGTGTCGGGAGTTCAAGTAGCCCTCTAAGTACATGGGGTCATTGAGGGTTTTTATAAACATGTCATGATATGGTTTATAGAGGAAGACGATCAGTCTTCATGCTATTTGGAGAATATTCAAAGCAGCAAGAATGCGCATGGGCAGACCAGGTAGGGGGCTCAGTCAGAAGTCCATGGGAGAGATGGGGTGACCTAGAAGCAGCAGGAGGCACAAGGAGGGGAGGATGGCTCCAAATTGTGCTTTCGGGAAAAAACGAACTAACTGACATGTTGGATGGAGTAGTGAGAGAATGGGAAGAATCGAGGGTTTTGGCTTGAGGAACCCAGTGGCAAGTAGTGGGTTTTTTCCTAAAACAGTGATGACTGGTGGGCAGGGGGGGGACAGTGCCAGTGCCAAAGAGGGCCCAACGCTCCCCTGAGTAAAGTCCAATGTAAACAGAACAGTTTTTCTCTTTCCAACAAGATTGATCTTCCTAGTTAGAAATTCAGATGGTGGCCAGTTTGGGTTGGGGTATACATGGCAGAGGGACAGGAGGATCAAGAATTCAGAGACACGTTATTTTTGAAATGCCTCTTGTACACTCACATGGAGATGTCAAGTAGGCAACTGGCTAGCTAAGCCTGGAGGTCTGGGATGGAGACAGAATTTGGAAGTAAGCCACACTTTTTTAAAGACAGTATTTAAATGTACAGAACTCATGAACATGGATGAGATCACCTAGGCTCAGAGTGAAGAAAAGAAAAGGGATGCAGGATGGAGTCCTAAGGAACCAGCATTTGGAAGCCCATTAGAAAAGGGAAACCCAGTGAAGGTGACTCGAAGGAACATCTAAAGCAGGGAGGACACAAGAAAGAGAATATTTCTAGGAGGAAGTGCTTCATTTACTCAATAAATATGAAGAGTCTACTGAGTACCAGGCTCAGTTTTAGGTCCCAGTAATAAGGTGAACAGAACAAAGCTGTAACTTAGTGAGGAAGGCAGGCAATAAAGAAATAAACAATTTAAACAATAAACAAAATAACAATGTTTGAACATACTATTGGACAATAAGTCCAATGAAGAAAAACAATGCAGGATAGAGGAATAGAGGCTGACAGGGGGTACAATTTTAGGGACGTGAGAAAGGGTCCCATTTGAAGAAATGGAATTCAGGCAAAGGCTAGAAGGAAGTGAGGGTGCAAACCGTGAAGGCATCAGGCAAAGAGCATCTCAGGCAGAGGGAACAGTGAGTGCAAAGACTCCACGCTACAGCATTTTAGGAAGACGTTTTTCTGAATGCTAGTCTCTCCCTGATGCTAGTTTAAGTCAAGGTCCTGACATTGTTCCGAGTGCGTCCTCCAACCTGTGCTAACAATCATAGTAACAACAGCTAACAGTAGCTATTCATTGAAAGCTGCTGGGTTAGACTCTCCACTAGACACTGCACAAGGGTTATCTCAGCTCTTCATAGCAACCCTACAGAAGTGAGTCTATCATCACCCACACTTTGTAAAATGGGAAATTGAGGCTTAGAGAGGTAAAATGACTTATCTAAGCTATACAGCCCATGAGTGGCTCTGATCTCTATGAGAAATCTGCTTCAACACTCTTATTCCAAGGTGTTCATTATAGATGCTCAAGGATGTTAATTACACAATGCTTTGCCAAAGCAAAACTGGGATTTCCAAGTTCTCATCATCCCTAGATGTTGCCTGAATGTACAACCACATCCTGAGTAACTCAACCTGAGGTCTGGAAGATTCCTGCCGCCTGCTCAGTCTAAATACATGCAGCCTCTCGTCAGGTTGTACAGAGTGTACCTGCGTAGACTCTGTAACATCTTTCTCACTTACTCTTTGCTTCCCATTCCCGCTACCCCACAGCCTAGTTTTGGCACTTGCCCCTTCCTGGGCTCTTGCAATGAGCTCTCACACGGAAGGGGTTGCTCCTCTTTCCAGCAGTCCATCCCACACCCTGCGACCAGAACAGCTTGGCTGGAACACAAGTCCAGTCTTGTTCTCCAGCTTAGAAATCCATATGGGTGGGCCGTTGCCTGTGGAACTAAGTCCAGGCCTGGTAGCCTGGTTCCTGTGGTCTGACCTCAGCCTCCTTTTCTGGAGGTGTTGCTGACTCCGCCCTTCGAAGCCAGGATCCAGGCAGCATGCCCCACTCTCTCCTGCGCCTGTTGCTGGCATATCTGTACCTGCTCCATTTCTGCTTTTAGAAATTCTGCCTACAGGATGTCTGACTTTGATCAGGAGTCACCTCTTCATTCAGAGATCTCGGACACTTCTTTGCTCCCCCACAACACCCGGCACAGGTCCTCACAGAGGCCCTGTCACATTATCACACTCAAACACCGCATGCGTTTCTCCCCCACTGCACCCCAGCTCAACTGTAACCTGTTTGACATAAGGAGCTGTGACTCATCATCTTAATCCCTATTCATCTTGAATTTCTGGACAGCATAGTGTCTAGAATATAGTAGGTGCTCAATATGTGCATATGGAATAAATGAATGAAATCAGGGGAGAAGAGCAGATGAAGAAAAGGAAAGATGAGTCTGGAACTCTTATAATTAATTAGAGAAAATACATATTGATTATCTCTGTGTGCAAGGCACCCATTCAGAATTGGGGCAGGAGAATAGAATTAACATTTCTACGAGAGTCTTACCCCACAACTCCAGCATAAAGGGCAAGGCAGCTGCTCTTCAATGCCAGTATTTGAGCCCGCAGGCGCCCCTTCCCTCGTTTGAGCTCCTTCCTTCCATCATGCTCGGGGTCTGCCTCTCTCGGGCCAGCTCCCTCCCTGCCTGTTTTCTGGGGCTGAGGTCATTGTACAGCCTAGTGGCTCTGGCTCACTTCCCTCCCTTAGGTTCTGACTTTGACCAGTGCCAGGAGAAAAGGCCTCCAGGAAAATGCTTAGGGCTGACAAGCAAGCTTCTGGCTTAACCACCAAGATCTAGTGCCCAAGGCTTTGATAACATGCAGAAAGACGGACCCTCTTTCCACTTTGGGTTAAGGGGCGCTGCCTGACCTCCAATCTGCTGTGCTGCTCATTGGAGGGGCTGTCCATGCCATTCTAGTCTCCAAAGGATGTCAACAAAAACAGAAACAAAAGCAGAAGCTAGAGACAGGACTCCTAAAAGAGAAGCCGCCCTATTCCACCTTTTGCTCTGTAACTCACGAAGAAATTATAGGCGGGACTATCTGTCAGTAAGGGGCTCCCAGAGCTTCAACTGCTTGTAATTAACCTGATTAACTGCTCAGGCTTGAGACAGAATGAGAGCAGGTGTACATTTGGGGGCTTTGTATCTGGCTAAAGAAACGGGCCTGACAGAACACCTGTCACCCTTCTTTGTGCCCTTCTTCATCCCCGGAGGATGTCCCAGAGACTGAGTAAAATGTGGCACAGCTGTATCTTTTGTCCAGCAACTTTTCCTACATTGTAGAAACAGTACAGAGAAAATCAGAAAGAAAATATAAATGAATGATAATCCCACCCGGAGATAACCACTGTTACTCTTCTGCTGTTTCCATTGTCTCTTTTAAGTGCATTTTCCATACATGAGCCAATGTTCTCAATAAAACGTCATGCTCTGCTCTTTCTTCTACACACTGTTCTTGGGCCGACCTCGGTGGGGAAAGCATTACCGGAAAGCTAACGTAGGTGGACGCCGCCCGCTGTGCTCTGCCTCCCTGTGCGGCCGTGGTTTAACACAGGAGACAGCTCTGGGGTTAAATCTGCTTTCAAGTATGTGGAATTTTCAGCACATTCTCCCATTCTTTTACTTATTATATACTTACCACTGTTTTTGGCAATCCAGCTTTTCAAATTTTTTGGCATCGTGACTTTACATTTGCATTTCCTTCCTTTAGAGCATTTTCTTAATGAAACAATTTATTCCTCAATATGAAAGGGCTTCCAGATTGACAATGTTTCCAGTTTTCAGCACAGAGTGCCTAGTCTCCAGTATTGTTTTTTTTTTTAACTTCCGTGCTTTGATTGAGATATTTAAAGACTTACAATTCATTGAAGTGGTTTTAATGATGTGGGCGGTGGAGAAGATAACAAACCTAAAAGGCAGCACAGGGAAGAAGAGATGAAACAAAACTTGGATAAGAAACATGGCATCTGTTTTCAAGTCACACTCCTAGGATGATCCTGGAAGTCAAGGTCTTGGGAAATAGAAATGTGATGGTATCTGCGCTTTAAACAGACCTCAGTTAAGCAGGATTCGGGTGCATGCATGCCTGTGAGCCTACAATGAAATACTGTTTTAAAGAAGATTCAGCTGCGTTATATTTATAACCATGTGGTTGCTACCAGCTACCAGCATGTCTCCTTGCAGTGGTTCAGTTCTCGTTTCTCCATGTCCTAATTGTGCTCTGTTGCATGTAGTGTTGATGGAGCAGCCTCTCAGCCTGCTCCCCCTTCCCCATCACATGCAAGGCCAGCTGTGGCTTCCTGGGAATCCTGGTCCCACAGGGGCTTACCTTCTGATGTGTCGATCTCTGGTTGCAGTAGAAAGTTTGAAGTATTGGGGATTACACACCCTCCCTGGGCTGGGAAAAATTTAGCTCTGCTTGGAGTTCCTGTCCTGTGTGACCAGCATAAATGCACAACTGGAGCACAACCAGATTTGCATATGAGGCTCCTTTTGACAAACATCAACTCAAACGCTTCCCAGAAAAGTGAGAGTGATTAGGTCGTATCTCTTCAACAGCAGTGTGCTCCAGAAGCCGGAGGAAGGCAGTTAAAATGCAGGTTCCCAAGCTCCACTCAGAGTTTCTGACCTCCTAGTTTTTGGAGCCTGGGAATCTGCATTATAAGCAAACACATTAATGTGATTCTGCTGCTGGAAGTGCAAAAGTCACCGTGGGAGAGCACCAGGATTCTGGTGTCATCCTGGGCTCCCACCACCAGTACAGCAAAATAATGCCATTGTCTTGCCCTCCCTCTGCCTCCATCCCTTCGGCTGCATGGTTGAGTCCTTAGGTGTACCTTACAGTTTCTCTTAGCCATCCATCACCCTGATAATAATGTGCATTTGGGAGGGGCACACACTGTGATTTATCCAGGGTAGCATCCGCTTAAGGATGGATGGCCTGGGCCTCGGGCACTCAGGAAGACACAGGCTAGACCTATTGCGCTCTCTAGCTAGAATATGGATATGCAGGTGCTATACAGAAAACAAATTCCCAGATGGTGGACAAGGCCCCTGCGCTATATGATTTCTTTGGGCACGAGCTCTTCCCCAGGTCCCCCGGCGCCTTGCTGGTGCACACCCAGTGTCCTTTACACACACATTCAAAGCTCCTTCTGCAGGTATCTACCTTTCATATCCTGTGCACATTCCCAGTCCTCTTCACTCAGTCCCTCTCTCATTTTGACTTTCTCAGCTCTTATGTCCAAGTCTTGCATAAAATACCATTGTTATGTATGCATAGATACCAAACTTTTGTGCACTGTGTACACATGCTGGTGTGCACAGATACACAGAGTAAGTAGCAGAGCATAATATAAATACATCATCATATCTGCTGTCTGCTCTAGATGTCCCTTTGTCGGTACAATGGCATTGGCTTTGGAGTCAAAAGATCTCAGTTCAAAACCTGCTAAGTACCTAATCTTGGGAAGTCAATTAAATTCTCCAGGCCTGAGTTTCCTCAGTAGGTTTACATGAGAAAACTTGTAAAACATCTAGGACTGTTCCTAGAACCTAACAGGAAACCCCAAATATTAGGCATCTCCTTTTTCCTATTTTCTTTTTCTTTCATTCTTTTGTATATGAAAGGAAATAGTCTTCCAAATTTCTCTCACACAGCATTCAGTGTGGGTCCTTAATTGCCGCATCAGAAATGATCTCAGGCCAAAAAACACCAAGAGGGAATTTATGAAAGGATGTTGGGTGGCTCACAGAATTACCAGGAAGACTGAAGAGCCAGGTGCAGAAAATGCGCTGGAAGCCAGAAAGGCTACACAACTGAGACCACGGTCGGAATTACACCTTGGAGCAGCCTGGTGGCCAGAACTGTGGCACAGCTGACCCCAAACACTGGATGCCACTGCCCCCTCAGGGGCAAAACCAATTCTCTGCCACCTCTGCTTTTTCATGTGTTCCAGGTTTAAAGAGCTCTGAGTGAGACAGTCCCTGGCCATGTCTGGGGCCCAGGCCTGCACTCCAAGTGGGTGACTAGGGAGGTGGCTTTCCTTTCCAGCTTCCTTAGTTAGAATCCCTCAGACTAATAATCGAGATGTCAGACAGCCACAAAAGACTACTGTCCAGAGTCTGGTCTCACCATTCGATTTACATCTCATCCTTGTTTCACATATTCTTTTGCTCTGAGGTTGTGGAGTCTCTCCAGGAACTCTTCTCAAGCCTAGAGCCACTGTTTTCAGAGACAATTTCAACTCTTTCTGCCTTGTGTCCCTTCTTTCCTCTGCCCCAAATTCCCAGTCCTGCCTCCTTTCCACCACGAGTCTCTGAACAGCCCAAATCCTGCCCATTCTGCAAATGCCAATGGCGATGTTACCCTCTTCACTGTGGCGGCACCCACCCCTCATTCCCCCACTCAGCTGCTCCTGCCCTTACGTCCTGGGGGCACTTTTTGTGTATCTCCTTTAGCCCGTTTGCCCCATCTTATTACCAACACGTGTGAGGTGTTTGAGGGCCTGCCTCCCTCCCTTTCCTGGACCCTACATGAAGCTCCTTAACGGCAGAGGTCCGCCGTACTCATCTTTGCAGCCTTGGTTCTTAGCATCCGGTAGATGATTGACATGTTCGCTCCGCAAAGCACGCATACCTGTTCTCAGCACGTACAGACCCCTGTCCTCCGCAGAGGGGGCTCAGCCGCGTGATCAATGGGGCGAGTCCCTGGGACGGCGCCCTGCACGCCGCCAAGTATTGGCCTGCTCGCGTACACCCGTCGCCAGGGGCGGGCGGCGGCCAGCGGGCCACCCAGGTGCGCCGCGTCCGTTACTTCAGTCCAGCCCCACGCATTCCCCGCTCAGAGCGCTGAGCGCCCTCCTTCTGCCTCGGAACGTTTCCACCCGAGGAAGTTGGCACGCGGGACTCCGGCCGCCTCCCCAGGTCAGGAAGGGACCCAGACGGAGAGGCGGGAGCGCCGCCCGAGCAGACGCGCCGCCCGCGGGCCGCCCCCCGCCGCTCGCGCCCGCCGCCCGCGGGGGTGGCCGCCGCCGCCGGCGCACCCGGACGCCGCCTCCGCGGCTGCGGCGCGGGCTCCGACCCCGCTTCCCCGAGCCGCCCGGCCCGCGCCCGGGCCTCCGCGCTGAGCCCCCGCCGCGGGCGCCGGCACGTGACCGGGAAACTTCGGCGGCCCGCGGACGGCGGGGGGCGGGCGCGCGGCCCGGAGTCACCGCCCAGCGCCGTGCGGGGCCAGGGGCTGCGCCTCCCGCAGGCGGCGCCCGGGGGCGCCGGGGACCCGCTCGCGCGCGCGCGGCCGCCTCCCGCCGCCGCCTCGGCCTCGGCCTCGGCGGCGCGGACCCTCCGAGCGCGCCGCCCGCCGCTGTCCCCGCCGCCCGGTCTGCTCGCCAAGTTGGGGACATGCACCGGGCCGTGCTGGCGTGCGTCGCCGTCTCCTGGCTGACAGGTAGGGTCGCGTCCGCCGAGACCGGGAACTTTATTCCCGTGGCCGTGCCGCGCCCCGCCGCCCCCACCCCACGGCCCGCTCCCGCGCCCCGCCGGTGTTCCAAGCCGCTTAGCAGGCCGGGCGGGCGGGGGAGGGGCTGCGCGTGAGTGTGAGTGAGCGTGAGTGTGAGTGAGCGCGCTGGGACGACGGGAGGCGGGAGAAGCCCGGTTGCAGGCGAGGTGGATTGGGACGCAGGTGTCCGGACCGCGACCCGACTCCGCGTCCACGCAGCGGGGCGCCCTCGGCCCGGGCCTGAGCCTGTAAAGCTGTGTCCCGGGGGAAGCCTGGCCAGGAAGAAGCGGGAGCCCTGGGCGCGGTGCATTAGGGGCTCCTGTTTTCTGGAGGTGGGGGCGTTGGAGTGTCCCCCAGTCCTCCCCGGGGAAGGTCCAGGGGCGTTCCGCCGGCCCCCGGGGGGGAGCGGGACAGGGAAGGAGACGGGGTGGGGGCCTCTGTGTCTGGGGTTTAGGGCCCCCCCGCTCTTGCCCACTTGGGGCCATCAGAGGAGTGGCCCACGGTTAAAGAAGAGGCCCCCCTCCCGCCCACCTCGCGCAGGACACAGGCTTCCCCCGCCTCAGGAAAGGTGATTTGCAGGCACTCAGCAGGTAGGGCTTCTCCCCGCGTCAGAGCCCCTTCCTCTGGCCGGGCCTCCGTGTCTCCTCTCCCTTCTTGTGAACTTTCTCTCCACCTTCCTGGGGTCTGGAAAGGCTTTGGTTCCCAACACTTTGTCCCACGTGACCATTCTGCGCTGCTGAGGGGCAGGCGACCGGGTAAGGTGGCCAGCCCCGAGAGAGAGAGAGAGAGTGGCCCTGCTTCGGGGCAGGGGTTTGGGATGTCTGGACGAGGTCTGAGACAGCGACTGACCCGCCATGGAGACTGAGGGACAGAGGAGAGGAACGAGGGATCAGAGAGGTGAGGATAGGAGGTGGGGCAGTGAAGGGCAGGAAAGCAAAGGGAAAACTAGCCCCCAAAATGAAGTTCTGCCCACTCGGGGGTACCAACCAGAAGATTTGGAAAAATCGAGTCAGTAAGAAGAGGGGAACACGTTTTAAACATCTCAGTCAAGTTACTGAAAGAGGGTAAAACATATTTAAGAAGAAAGGCAAACACCCCATTTTCCTTGGCTTCAGAATAAGATTATTGATTGCCAGTGCCCCTTGCTGTTCAGAGTGGAGGGCAGCGCTCTTGGGCCCCGCTGGGTTTAGGCAGGGGGAGGGGCGGTACTGTTTAGCCCAGTTAGCCTCTTCTCCTGGCTGCTCCGAGTTCATCCCTCCCACATTATTCAAATATGAATCATCTCTAATTTCAGGGTTCGGCTGATCCATGCCTCCCTACTCCCCTGGCCTCCCGCAGCCTTCCACTTGCACCCTCCCGCTTTTGATCATCCTTAATTTAAAAACTGCCTCTACTTCTCAGTTATCGAATTCACAGGGAACTTAGGCCTTGAGCCTGTAGCACCGCCTCCCTTCAGTCAGCTAGGTACCCAGAGAGCTGCTCTGCCAGACACCCTGGGATGTGGGCAAGGAAAGCCCTTGAGGGGTCTGCAGGAGGGGATTCCAAGGGGAACATGCCACCCTTGCTGGAAGACCAGCAGCTTTTCATGACATGCAGTCATGTCTCTGGAGGGGACCAGAGGCCACCTAGTTCAGCCCTCTGACTCTATAGAAATGCAAGCCCAGAGAGGCGATATGCACACGGCAGCTTTGTGGTGGAGCTGGAATGAGAACCCAGTTCTCCCAATCCTAGTCCTGTGTGCACCCCCCTAAGCTGCCTCTCTGGGTTTTTTGTTGTAGGGGTGTTTATTTGAGGGGAGGTGCTGCCTGGCCTGTGCCTTCTTCCATCTGTACGTGGAGGGGCCGCACCTGCCTGGGAGCAGGCAACAGGTTAGTTATCCGGGCCATCTCAGTTGTCACCCACGGGCGCTTCTCTGCGAGACCCCGCTGACCCCCCACCAGCACACCAGCCCAGCTTCTGCTTCCGCCTCATCCCCTCACATCACAGCTGTGGGTTGTGCCTCTGGACACTGTCTCAGCAAAGTGGAGGAGCTGAATGGCGGCTGGCAGGGGGAGGGGAGAGGAGCGGTCAGGATGACAGGGATTCCGACTCATTGTCCCCAGAGAAACCAGGGGAGGAGAGGTAAGAAATGTCAGTCCAGCCCAATCAATGAATTCTCTCTTGAGGGGGCGGTAAAAAGGGAGGGAGAAAGAAAAGGACAGATTAAAAATGAGTCAGAGAGCCCAGGCAAGACAACCCCCACATTCGCTCTCCCTCGCCCCCCTCTCTGCCGCCTGCCCCCATCCCCTGTTCCCTCTCCCCTCCCATTGCTCCCTTCCCTTGTTTCGCTCTTCTAATGCAGGCTGAGCAATTTCTAATCAACACTTCAGTTTTTTCCTCAGGCTCTGGCAGCGCCTTCCGTATTTTTCATTGCTAAAATTCTGTATTTCTTCCTGCTGTATATTTAGCCTCATGATTTCTCATTGTCGTTGTGAGGCTGCTTTCTGTAATAGGCTGTTGGTGTTTTGAACAAAACAAAATGCTTACCAGCCGCTATTTTAGCAACAGGTGCCACCTAGCAGTAAGCCCCGAGGAGGGTTCACTCTGTCTTTGTTCCCGAACGTGGTGGCATTCCGTCCTTCCCTGGCAGTGGAGGCTGCGGAGACGCCGGAGCTGGGTGCACGCTCTGGGGAGTCACTGGGGCGCAGGCTACGGGGGGCAGGCAGGCTCCTGTTTTCCTGGAGGCTCTTTTTGGGCTCTCTGTGATGAAGATGGCTTGCTCGGTTAGCATTTCTTTTGGACCCTTTTGGTTTTATTTATTCAGCCATTCTCCAAAGGCGTATTAAATTCCTGTGGTTCTAAGTGATACACACCAAGAAGAAAGTGGTGAGACACAGTCCTCGCCCTCAAAGAGCTGTCAGTCCAGACAGCGACTCAAAGGAGCTTTCAGGTAGTTTGGGTCTGAAGGTCAAAGGTCCCACGGGAGGCACACAGGTGCTAAGAGAGCCTGGGGGAGGCATGGCCGACTCAGACCTGGGGTGGGGGTGGAGAGGAGAGGCTCGGAAATGAGCTCCCAGAGGAGGGATGGCTGGGGGTTCATGCCCGGCCAGCTGCTGAGCCATGGGTCCAGGCGCCATACTGGCATTCACAAGATGGAGACACAGCCTCTGCCTTCAGGGAGCTCACAGCCTGGTGGGCGAGACACCGGTGACCTATCTGTGACACACAGACATGCCAAGGCCATAGTGGAGATGGCACTCAGTGTTGTGGGGCCTCCAGGCAGCTCACCGCCAGCCTGCAGCGGCAAGGGAGGTCCGAGGGAGCGGGATCTGGCGTGTGCCACCGAGTGAAGGTAGGCTTGGTAGGGGGAGTTGCAGGGCTCTGAGTCCTGGGGAAGGAAGAGCTGCCTTTAGAAATTGCCGACTCCTCAGCTTCCGTGATCTCCTTTCCCATCGTGTACCCCTCTGTCCTGCTTTCCACAGGGGAAAGGCCTTGTTCAAGCCAGAGCATCTTCTTTCAACACTGTATCACAGCTCTGCCCATCCCCACTGTCCCCCAGCCTCACGTCCTCTCTGGACTAGGATTGGGAGCTTGGTTCAGAATCCCCCACACTCTTGATTGCAGACTCCCATGATTGTGTCAGTATTGGCGCACAGCCATGCCGGTAGCGGGCCGGTCCTTAGCGCCTATCCAGCATTACTGGCATTGGGACCAGGACTTGGTTGGTGAAGGGAACCCTGAGCCGGCAGTTGAGGACTGGTTCCCAGTGCCCTCTCCTCCATGGATGAGCATTATAACCATGGCATCTGGCTCTCAGGACGTGTTGAATGAAATGAATTCACTTTCAGCTCTACGACTCTATGGTTCTGAACTTTTTCTCCATTTTCGATGAGCTGGAGAGCAAAGCTGAAGAGCGACAGGCCCATTCTTCCCATTGTAATGGCCCCTGTGAAGAACCACCAGGGAGCCCCAGTTCTTTGCAGCCTTTTCCTGACCATTGATGATTGGAGTGAAAAACACCAGCTGGGAAGGGAGAACTCTTGTTAGGTTTTGCAGAGGAACAAATGGGGCAGCACCAGTGAGAGGCGGACATGATAGGGTTCACTCTGAAGGATTATATGTGGTCGTGCTGGGGACTGGCTAAGCAAGGCAAGCACTTTGGACCAGGTGGGGTGAGTCCTGCTCTGGCGAGCATGGCCCCGTGATGGGCCTTCAGTCTTGACTTTTTGTCCCAGGACCTGCTCACCTCTTCTCTCCTTCCAGCTATTTTAGCTTTTATGCTTCTTTCCCCCCAGTCAGAAATATAAAGAAAAGTGTGAGGTGATTGTTGTTCTTGTTTATTTACATGCTACAGTGGTTTTCTGTATGTTAAATGGCTTTCATATCCATTATTCCTTTTGATCTTTTTAACTAAGTGTGGCCGGTATTACCTGCCTGTACTTAGGAAGACCAAGGCTCAGAGGGAATAAGTGACTTGTCCGAGTCCATGGTGTCTGTTGACTAAAAGAATAAGAAACAGTGTCTCTAACTTAACACGACTTGGCTGTTTCAAGCGCCTGAATCCAAGGGAAAATTCTTTTCTGGTTAAGGTTAAGGTGGGTCAGCCTAGAACTCCCAATTCAAGTGAACATACATGGGATCTGTTATGGGGTATTGGGTAGTGAGGCTCAGAGTTCACAGAACTTGGGGAAATATTGCAGGGAGAAGTGAGAAAGAATAACTTTTAGTATTTCTAATTAAATCCTAAGATCTACAAGAAAAGAGTGAGAAGTGCTCCCGCGCTCCCGCGAGGTAAGGGAAAGCAGAGGATGTGGCCCAGGGGCAGCAGGTGACTGCTGGTGTGTCACAGCCCATCTGGGGCAAGGGGCTGGGGCTGTGTGCCCAGGAGCCACACAGGGTGTAGCCGTGGCATATGTATGCTTGAAATCGTGGTCTTCGAGATAGTTTTTGCTCTCTGAAAATGAAAGAAGCTATGTTGGATGACTGGAGTTCTTTACGGGCCAAGATATAAGGAAGAACTCAGGAGAAGGTGCCTTCTCTGTTCTCCTGTTGTCTGGGGCCCTGCAGGGAGAGGGGCTCTGAATTAGGAGCCGAGCCCCAGAATCAGCGGGGACCCTGCACCCCTGTTGCCTCCTTGCCCCTGGCTCTTGGGGAGCTACACTCAGAGGTAGTCGGGGGAGAGGGATTAGGCAACACCAGCTTAATATTTTACCTTCTTTTCTTTGGCTTTAACCTGGGAAGCTAACTTACTGGATAGGGTTGTTGTGATAATTAAAATGAAGTTGTGTGAAATGCCCAGCACAGTTTTTGGCACACAGTAGGCTCCCAATACTTATTATGAACCCCAACTAGGTACTAGTCAGCATTTTGATGCAGATGCAAGGAACCCCCGAATCTCAACAGCTCACACCAGCACAGTTAGCTCTTGCCCATATCATGTGACAGCCGTAGTCGTTAGCTGCAGGTCAGCTTGAGTCGTTAGAACTGGTGGACTTGCATGAGTTATAGGTGTCTTCTTATTCCAAGACCCAGATTGAAGGAGCAGCCACTCTCTGGGCATGCTGTTCCCGTGGCAGAGAGCTCGAGGCGGTAGGAGGAGGGCGTAGAGCCAAAGTACACAAATGCCTTTGAAGCTTCAGCTTGGGCACATCTTACGGCACATGCACTGACATTCCACTTGGCCAATGCAAGTCTTAGGGCCCAGCCTATAGTCTGGGGAGTGGTGAGTGTATTCTGCCTACAGAGGGCAGTGCAAGAGTCTGGAGGGAAAAATGAGAACAATAATACAGTCAGTCTATCAATTGGATTAAATCATCCAGCAAATGTGTTGACTGTCTAGTATGTGTCACTCCTGAAAAGCCTGTAGGGGAGAGTTTGTTGTTGATGATGGAGAAAGAGGACTAAATACAAATTTCTCAGGCAGGGTGATATGATTCTCTGGGGTACTATGACTGAAGTAAGAGTAGTGTAACTCCAGAGGGGAAGGTATATTCCCAGCCCAGGGCAAAATACCTTTGAACCAAAATCAGTCAAAGAGAATAAAGTGGGAGAAACCCGTTTATTGCCTACAAGCTGTTGTGGAGAAAAAGGGACCCCACCCAACCTCTCCGGTCCTGATGTGCCTTGTAATTACCCATTGTTATGTAGATGGTCCTTCTCTCCACCCCTTGGAAACACCTATTGATATGGAGATTCACGAAGGCCAGGCTGAGAGATTCTTGGAAGCTTGCAGTTTTGCCCACAAGCAGGAAGCAGCTTCTCCAGAGAGGGGAAGGATAAGTAGGAGTTAATAGGGGCAGACTGTGATGGAGGAAGGGAAATTTACGGAGGGAACAGCATGTCCAAAAGCTAATAATCAAGAGAGGATATGATGTGTCCTGAAAATTACAAATAGTTTAGTGTGGTTGGAGAATTCAGTGCTGCAGGAGGGATGGAAGAGAGTGGCCCATGTGAAGTGAGCCCTTGTGCTCCTGAAGAGGCTAAAAGGAGTTTCTGAAAGTGTGGGAGTAAGAGTACCATAATCAGATGTGCATTTTAGGAAAAGCATGTGGACTTCAGTGTAGAGAGTGGATCAGGTGTGGGGAGACCTTCCGCAGAAACCAGCTAGGAGACCCGTGAAGAGAGGGAGACACGAGGAGAGCCTGAACACCTAGGGCGGGGCAGGGGGAGGGGGAGATGTGAGAGGTGGACCCAGTGACCCGGGAGGAAGCCGGCCTGGCTTGGTTTTGGATGTGGAGGTTGAAGGGGAAGGAAGGTCAAAGATGCCTCCAGGTCTCTGGCTTGGGGCTGCTGGGGGTGCTGTTCCCAGACACAGACTCCTACAGGAGAACTGCGTAAGGCAGGCAGATAAAGGGTTAGTTTGTTTGCAATATATTGGCTAAAGTATAAC